CTTTCCAGAATTAAACTGATCAACAATTGACCACAAAGTAAGTCAAGTCATTCATTCTTCTGTGGTAGCCTTATATATGAACGAAATAATCCAGACCTCGAACAATAGAAATAGTCTTACTGTAAACTACATACAGTTTTTTTCTAAAAACAAGAATATACTTGTTCTAAAGCTAATCATATTAGAAGGGACCAGTTAATTATCTTGGGATGGAAAATACTAGCCAACCTGAACAACTATGAAAGTTCTATTGCCTTTTTAGTGCTTGCTTTGGTTTCAAATACCTTGTTTTATCTTAAGTATTCATTTGTCTTCACTTGATTTATAACAATTGTCAATTCAGGATACTTGTATATCAGTTTAATAGCACCAGTTCCAAAGTGGGCTTGTTCTGTATCTATCGTTTCATAGCCGTCATGTAAGTTCTTAGCAAGAATACAAAATTATGTCAGTTAAGGGACTTTTCAGAAGAAGAAAAGAATTTTGCTAGGAATGTGAAAAATGATTTATAAAGCATAAAAAAAAAAAATTCCAGGAAACAGAAAGGTGTCAGGGAGGGAAAAAAGGAAAAGATTTCTGCAGTACATAGTAGGAAAGAACTGCTGTGCTTGGTATTCCTCACTGAATGGGCTTTTCTGCAGACCTCTACAACTCAGGATGTATTGTCCCTTGGGGGAGGAGAGTAACCTTTCACTAGTTGTTTACTCTATTGCTGCCTCATTCCAGCTAAAACATAATTCTCTGCATAACGTGTTTTCTTTTACTTTAGAGAAATTCCCACTTGGAATTCATCTGACATAAATAAAATAACGTTTTATTCCTTTCCTGATCTTAAGGAAAGAGATCTGTAGTTATTTTTCTTCAGATCTTGCGGAAGAAGGGCTCAGTTTTAAAGATGAATCTAAGTTTATTTTATAATGCTTTGATTTTGTATTTTTCTATCTAACCTAGAAATTTGTGCGTTTATTTACTCTACTTAGTATAGTGTAATCCAAAAAATAAATTACAGTTTTATAATACAAATAAATTCCTTACACAAAAACTAAATACTAATCAACTCCATATTTATTGTATCTGCTACTCTGTAGTTGATAGGAGTAATTTAAAAAGATTTGATCTCCGGGAGACTAGGCAGGTGAAACATGACAAAAGTAGAAAGTTATGAAGAATTATTAAAAAGAAGAAAATTTAAAATTCTTTAACATTTAAAATTGTTACTTTTTAAATTTTAAAAAATTATTTAAAAAATTGTTTAAAAGAATTATTTAAATGAGTGTGACGTATTGTTATCATCAAAGTAGTTGCTCGTAATACAAGATACAGGCATGAAAAATTGATCAAACAATGCAGGCCTAAACCTTTCCTTTCAATGAGCTAATAGCCATTAGTAGTATAACTGTCATCTCTGACAAGCTTGTTTTGAAACTTTATACAATTGTTTTTATTATTTTTCTTTTCTTTAAATAAATAATTAAAAATACAATAAAAAATAAAAAAAGATGTTGGGCTGTAGCTCAGCACAAAGTCTCCGGATTCAGTCCATAGATAGATGGAGATAGAGATAGAGATAAAATTAGATAACTCAGAAAAATATTACTCACTCCATAATTCTTCTACCTTATTTCTTCTGTCTCTTGTAACAATTATTAATGTTTTCTGATTCATCTTGTATTGTTTATCTTGTATTGCTTTTGTATAAATAAATATCTGATGAAAAAAGAGAGTGGGAGCTCAGGAGAGTTCAGAAAATGAAAGATGGATAAATAGCTGCTCTAAATATGTGATTGATTAAGGACATAAAGAATCAATGACATTCAGAAAGCACCACATGAAACAATAAGGTAGAGCAAAGAAAATGATCTGTAGGACTCTGTTCTAGAACATTACCGAGAACAAAATTGTACTGTACCTCAAAATTTGCGTGATGCAATTTACATGTAGCAGAATATAAAGCTGGAAATGTATGCTTATTTCTATTAGTTGATTGAAAAGGACAGCTAGTGCTTATATTGTTTGAACAATTTTGAATGCCTGTGTCTGGTGATCTGGGCAACTACTTTGAAGACAACAATATGCAATAGAATAACTATTGTTAATTTCCTGTGATCTTGTTTTGAAATTCTGTATCATTTTTATTGCTTTTCTCTCTCTCTTTTTTTTTTTTTTTCTCCAGTACCAGGAACCGAACTCACGACCTTGAGCTTGCCAGGCAGGCACTTTTGCCGCTGAGCTAAATCCCCAGCCCCGCTTTTTTCTCTTTAAAATAAAAACAAAGAACAAATACAATTGGTGAGTCTTCACACACAAAAAAAATTCGGTGCTCACCAAAGCAAGGAAAAATATAAGTTAAAGGCAAGAGAGAGCCATTCCATGTGTAGGGATGAGCCCTCAAAAGATGTTTAAAGTTTTTCATCGTAGTTTTTATGATCATAAAAATATACGTATAAAATGCAAATATATAACATGAAATATGCTGATGGAATCTGCTTATGTTTAAATTACATTTAGTAATTGACTGTATCACTCTAATAGAATGAAATAAAAAAGAAGGGAATCAAAGGTGACCTAGAATTAGAATTAGAATAGGTAACTATTTGAAGAATATTCTTAATTTTGAATGTGTACTACATGTCTGAGTTTATATTCCACTCACAGATAAGGTTTATAGAGGAAATATGTTCCTGAATTCTAAATGGAATCTCGGGTTTAATTTGACTCCTTTTATGTTACATAGTTTTATAAAAGAATCCCTCATTCTTTTCAGAAATATCAACACTTCATTGAGTGATTCTTGGGTTCTGGACACTTAAAAGAACTGTGGGGATTCCTCAGGATCGACACACACAGGCAGTGTCTAGATAAGGCATACCCGACAAATATTAAGACCACCCATCACTGTCCATCGACAAATGCGCTTCTCCTTCCAGACAGTTTAAAAATCATTTTCTTAAGTACTTAGCAAAAATCCTAGAAAAAAGCATCCACTCTCTGTGACTTCCTTAATTCTACATATAATTTATTGTAATCTTAATGGTATTTAGTTTTTTGTAGTGATTTTGTTTTTCTGATCTTTGTTTGGGCTTAGTGTTATTTAAGACCTACTCTGACACAGTTCATTTTATAGATGTTATACATCATTTATTTTAAAAAGTACTTTGAGAATAAATCACAGGCAAAAGCAAGAGATCATGTTTAATGAAGCTGCACATAAATATTCACAATGATTATTACTTTTTAAAAGTGGCTATGAAGGAGAGTAATGAATGCTTTTACAAAGTTGAAAAAAACCACAATCTAGCAGAAAAATGTTTTTCAATGTGTGGACATGTGTGTGTGAAAGAATTTGCATACTCCCTGAACTTGTGTGCTTGTTGATAATACTTGATTTTAAAGTGTGTAATATGTTATACTCTTAGAAAAATAAACAATAAAGGAAAGAAAGAGGAAAGAATGTGCCTGAGGTTAGTGGCCAGGGACAGTGGAGCGTATTGGTAGATCTTGGCCGGTAGGAGGTAAGAATGCTGTTTTATGAATTATATGAAGACTCAGAAGTTTTTACAGAACTAAGTTCTAGGGGTCTGGGGATTTAGCTCAGCCGCACAGCGCTTGCCCGGCAAGCGCAAGGTCATGAGTTCTATCCCAGGTACCGGAAAAAAAAAAAAAAAACGAAAAAACCAAAAAGCAGAACTAAGGTTAACTAAGGTTGTTAGAATTAAGAGGGAATACATGTCAGCTATGTTAACAATAAGTCTTAATGATCAAGTCACTGCACTAATTGGCCATATAAATGGGATATGGGATCAAAGATAATAAAAAAGGTAAATTATCTACTACTATACTTTTTGAAGTTTAAGCATCTGATTGTCTGTATTAGATAGCATAATAGTCTGTGAACTTACAATATACAAAAAATGCAGAATATACTCTCTAATGGTCTCCAAACTCAGTATATTAGCTAAATGAAACCACATGTTAATGGCCTCAGAGGAATAAGGGTTGTCTGGGGTCTGTGTCTTCCTTACTTAACATTTTCCTGGATACAAAAGTAAATATATATTAGTGTTTACTGAGGGTCTAAAAGGTATTATAGGAACTGAATTAGACATTTCATTTTATTCTTTATGACAAGTTTGTAAGATTGGTGCTGTTATCCCCATTAACAACTGAAGAACTAATGTTTGATAAAATATGCTCAGAGTGACCTAGCTATGAATCTCAGAACCAGTGCTCATTGTCAGAGCCTGGTCTCTTTCCACCCCATTATACTGGCCTTGCTCATAATGTGATAACTGGCTGAAGAAAAAGTCATTGTTTTTGTATTTGAAGAGGTGTTTCACTTTGTTTTCTTACCAAATTTATTAGAAGGGGGCTGGGGACTTAGCTCAGCAGCACAGTGCCTGCCTGGCAAGCACAAGGTCATGAGTTCAATTCCTGGTATCAGAAGAAAAACAAACAAACAAAAACAAACATAAATATATTAGAGAGCTGATGGTAGGTAGTAACTGTGGGTCAAGAGATACATCTTCCAGATTGAGGCGATAAACATACCTGAATTAAACTTAAAAATACACAATTTCTGCTTTCTTAGTTTCCTGAACTAAGAGATCATCAAATTTTTTGGTTTTTAATAAGAAGGAATATTTAATGACATCAGCATCAATTGATGAGCTGGGCATGGTGCTGCATGCTTGTAATCCCAGCACCCAGGAGGCTGAGGCAGGAGGATCACTGCGAGTTTGAGGCAAGCCTGGGCTACAAAGTGAGCTCAAGGCCAGCCTGAACTGCATAGTGAGACCCTGTCTCAAAAAGGCAAAAAGAAAAAACCAAACAAACCATCAACTGATGGTCCAGGGCAGATTGATAAATTCAAATTCTCTCTGATTTGAAATACCAAAGTATATCTTAATACAAATATCAAAGCAATGATGTTTTATTTCATTTCCTATTTCTTGAAGATAAATTAATAAAATGAATTAAGAGAATTCATATTTCTTTTCTAGTGCTCAGCTTCTTGTGGTAAAGGAATAAAGTACCGTGAAGTGCTCTGTGTTGACCAATTCCAAGAGAAATTAGAAGAAAATCTCTGCAGCCATTTCCAGAAACCTAGAACTCACAAAGCTTGTAGATCCACCAGATGCCCTTCATGGAAAGCCAATAGATGGATGGAGGTATGTGATGCATTTTACAATTCTATATGTATTTTTTGCATTTAAAATGAAATTTTAATTCAGTCTTCACTTTCAATAATTGTAAAACTTCTACTTCTTTAAAATGTACATTATTATCCAGGCGTGGTGGCACATGCCTGTAATCCCAGCCCTTGGAAGGCTGAGACAGGAGGATTGCTGTGAGTTCGAGGCCAGTTTGGGCTACAAAGTGAGTTCAAGGCCAGCCTGAAATGTATAGTGAAAAGCTGTCTCAAAAATTAAAATAAAATAAAATATACCTTTTTTTTATTAGACACTTACGGGCACTGTGCTCCAGATTAATACTGTACATTGTTGATGTGTGTGCTGCCTATAGTTAAGTAGCAAATTAGTCATTTGGTTTTTTGTAGCTATAAGTTGTATAAGAAAATTCTGTTACTGACTGGGAGTGCTACAGATCATCTTGGTAGTCTAACAGCAAAATATATATGTGATGATGCATATATCGACAAATATGTCACTTCTTTCCATCCCCGTTTGTTGGATTAGAGCTAAGACTGCATCCTGGAGAAATTGAATGTAGGATTATTATTGGATACCTAGAATTAGGGCAGTGGGAAAGCTAGGTAACCTAGACTGGGCTAAGACTAGAGTAGAAAGAGTCAGGAAAAACAAAGCTGGTAGGAGTTCCTGGCTGAGCATTCAGTTTGTAAACCAAGCATCTTAGGTATCAAAGGTTGATACCTCCCTTGACATACTCAGGGGAGACAGTCCAGGATCTGCACTGGAGGAAGCATACGTTCAAGAGTGGCTTTCAAGCAAATACTAGCTCGGGAAATGGTCTACAAAGTCAGTCTTCCTGTTGCTGGGACAGAATTCGTGACACCAGAGTTTCAAGGAAGAGGGGTTTATTTGACTCACGGTTTCAGCTATTTCAGTCCATGGTCAGCTGGCTCCAAGGCAGAGACGTCATAACAGAGGGGCTAGTGGAGCGAAACTACTCAATTCAAGACAGCTAGGAAGCGGAGCACATCCAGAGATGCGGCGACCCACCTTCAACAATACACAGTCAGCTACAGACCCCAGTGGGTTCATCCATCCACTGAGCAAATCAGGACCCCCTCATGATGGCCTTTCCTCTCCAGGAGCCTCTTAGTCCAGTTAAGTAGGTAATTAAGGTTAATTGGCCTAATTAGGAGTAGACAAAAGCCATGAATAAAGTCAGACTACTAACTGGAATAATTGCCTAAGGACTGATTTCACTGGGCTGGGGCTTCCTACACAGCTGTTTCCACCTGTACCTGAGGTTGCTTCTCCATTGCTTAAAGAGTGCGGTCTTGACATAGAAAAGGAAATCTGTCTTCTGCCGCAGAACTTCCTTATCTCTGTGAGATGTTGCAGTTACATCTTTTGGGAAGAGAGGGAGGGATTCATTCAGCAGCTAGAGGAAGTAGAGTCCCCAGGACTCTTAAGTCATCACTTCGCTATGGGCCCAGAGCCTCAACAAGGGGCACTGGCTCTTGAGCGGCCCTCTGTCAGCTTACCACCAGTATTGAATACCAAGTTCTCAAACTGATTAAAGTCACAAGTTTCCTTGTACAAGAGGCAATCTGTGTCAAGTGTTTATGTTCTGGGAATCGTGGTTGGGATTTGAACTCTGGGGGCGAATGCATCTGATTTCATTCCCCTGAGGGAGGGGTGCATTCTTGAGTATTTGCTTCTAAATTAAATTTTGATCGAGTACATAAATAATTTTTCATTCTTTATCACAGGCATGACTTAAAAGATCTCCCTCTTCACCCGTTATATTTATGGAAAGTCATAACTCTTTATTGAATTGTCCAAAAAAGAAGCATTGGTCCATCCCGGGTCTTTGTTCTCACAGTACGCCTGTCACTCAAGGGGTTCTCTCAATTTTCCTGTTAAAGTAGCTTTGGGATCTCTGTTGCCCCCACCTGGTGTAGTTCAGTAATTCTTCATTATCTGTTCCTGGGCCTACAGTGGCTCCGCATGTGTGTTCTGGCCTCGTCTTACTTTACGTGGTGTGGGCCCCAGAAGAACTCGGATATGCACATGTCACTTAACATCTTCCATGTCTTACTGCTGTCTGTGGAGGTGAAGTCTAAGACCAGCCTGTGCTTCCTCCTGCAGCATTATCCACTCCTCTGTCTCTTCCTCTCTGAGACAATGGGTATCTTGTTTGCTATCTAACTTCATGACTATCTGAATACTTACTTTGAATACTGTTGATTTAATTGCAAAAGGACTCACCCTCTCATAAGTTATATAAAAAATTTGTGATATTGTGGATTTGCTTAATGTGAAGTGTTACTTTACCTCCTCTGGACCAAGATGTGTCAGGGTAAGGGCAAAGTAGCTTTACCCAAGAGGCAGAAACATGCACCGCAAAGGCACTGGATGCCAAAGACCACAGGTGCACCCTGTGTGAAGCAGGTAAGTCCTAATTCTGGCATCAGCCAGGAGCCATCGGGATGGCAGTGCTGGTGAGAGAATTTGTCCTTCTTGGGCACCAGCATTCTATGGGTCCTAAAGATTCTTTTGCTGTTGCACAGCTGCTATGGCTGTTGTGTTTGATATTCTTGAGAGACAATTTCTGGCCCTTGACCTCCAGCTCCACAGCAGAGAATCCTCATCAGTACTAAGGAACACCCACTAAAGGAATGCATTTCAGGGGCATCAGAGATAAAGATATGAATATTGAAAAACTATAAAAGACCCAGCTGCTTTTGTGCAGACTCTGATTTATTCTCTTCAAATTGGTTTTCCTTGTCATAGAGATTATCTCTATTCAACCACACAGTCTCTATGTTTGCCAGAAATGTTTGCCAGAAACAATTGACCACTTGTGAAGCCCTTGGCCTTTGATTTATTCTATAAAAAGTACTCACATGAAGTTAAAAATTGCAGGCTGTCTCTCTGCTACATATAATGTATTCAACAGAGGTTTAATTTCAGAGGTGGTTACAAGATAATCACTGGTTGCTGCTTTGTTCAGATTGTAGAACTTATAACATTGCTTTAATATAAGCACTTCCCGTGAAATAATTTTATTTTGTTACTATTTTACATGATTCCTGAAAAGGAAAGACTCATTTAGTAAATTGTTGTCCACAGAAGTACTCAAATGAGTTTTGAAGGTACGCTTTACATTTGGGAAGTGATATCTTTCTTTATGTAAGGATTTGGTAATGGATGTTAATGACTGCTGCTAAACAAAAGCAGTAATTGCTGTACAAGACCGTTTGTCTTCTGTGTCCAGATGATATCTTGAGAGGCAAATTAAAGTGCCCGCCGATGTGGTGCTATGTGTTCTTGTTGGAATTGAGTTACACAGTGTTGGTGACTTAGTGCCTTCCTATCAATTATTTGCGATATACAAGTACATAGGGCTTCACAATGCCTTCAGATATGGTAGCTGGATTTTTAAAGTTAAAATTTAACACACTTACAAACATATATCCCTACAAAACTGTTAAAGGGTGAGTATTTTGGGATTGTAATGCATCTTGAGATGTCACTCTAATAAACTGCTTAAAAGTCAATATGGTACCCACCTTGTGTCTTTAGCACAGAAGGACCTGGCTTTGGGTACAGGTAATGACTTCTGCTATAGAAAAATCAAGTCCCAGGTCCCTCTGACACATCTAAGTAGAAAACACATAACAGTTCTTGGGTTTTTTTTTTTTTTTTTGGTTTTTCTCCGGGATCGAGAATCGAACTCACGACCTTGCACTTGCCAAGCAGGCGCTGTGCCGCTGAGCTAAATCGCCAGCCCCTACATAACAGTTCTTATAAATTCATGGGAAAAATATTGGAAATACATAAAAATATGTAGAGCTCAGAACAACACAATTGAAGATTTAGAAATTAATCCTGTGTAGAAATTGTGCAGAGAGAGAAGGTATGAAAACAGCCAGGTATAAACAGAACACAGGGGTATGCTAATGCTTAAAGGATAAACAGAGGAAGTAGAGTCGGGTAAAGTCCCTGAGAGAAAACAATACAGGAAGTAAGAGGATAGCACCAAGCATGAGACGTGATTGCAGGTGCAGAAGCAAATGAGCCAAATGTGTTAGTGACATTCACCAAGAAAAGTTTTGAAAAGTTTCTATTGGGTTTATTTGGTAATTGGTGTTATTGGTGACATCGGGCTAAGGAATATTTAACTGAAGTAATAAATTATTCTCTGCTTAAATCTAAAATCATATCAACTTATTCTCTGAAAAGCTAAAAAACAGAAGTTACTTTTTTTCAAGCATGAGTCCATTTTTTTCCCTTCAAGAAAGAGGTCCATATTAAAAATATGGTAGCTACTCGTGGTCTCAGTGGATTTTTCTAAACTTGTGCTATGATCAAGGACTAATAAAAGAGTGTGGTTGGTTGAAATAGGAAACTGTGTTCATCTTGTGGAATTTCATGCTATGCTGTTTTGTGAATTTTTTCCTAGAATTTTTTTCAGGTATAGAGTAATCTTTCAAATACAGTTTATATATCTGAAATTTTCTCTGAAAAAGTTTGCCAGAGCCTTATTTCATGAGATAAACATTTTCCTAAGATCGTCAGATAAGCTAAATTACATCCAGACATTTTAGTCTATCTCATGTTATTCCTGGCACAAAACACACATTAGATTATTATTTTCTCTATAGAAACAGCTTTTGTGAAAGCATTCAGTGAATTGGCAAAATTCAGTAACTTTAGGCATGATGTGGTCAACATAAAGTTATGTAGGTATGGATAATGTTCTTTACAGGTAAAAGCATATAAATTCTCTTTAAAATCAGTGATTGCTTCTTATACACATAAAACAAAACTAAATTTAATTTTTCTTTATAAGTAGAAATGCTACTGTAATTTGTATGAGGAATTTGAGTCTACTGGGTAAACTAAGTTCTAAGCTTTGAAGAATTTAAATTCTTTTCTTACAGTTAAACTATGTTTTGCAGATATGTTACTGTTGTGGCAGAAAAAAAGAAGGAGGGAAATTAGTTCCTGTGGGACATTTATAGAAATAGGGAAGTCAAAGAATGACCTGATTTTTTTTCCCTGATAACATCACTACTGGGAGTATTGATGGGGCCCCAAACAGCTTTACTCAGTATGTGATCTCCATTGCCTTCTGAAATTATATAAGCAACTGAACTCACAAATTAAATAAACATCCCTAGGCACACCCCATACTTTATTACTGCGGACTGCACAACTCTTGGTGGTTGTTGTGTGGTTCTTACTGCTTACTTAGGAACTCGTGGCATCCTACGGCTGGAAGATCGCCAAGTCCTTCCCCTCCCCTGGAGGAAGCACAGTGAGAACTCAACATGGAGGACAGAGGCGCAACTCTGCTTCTCCTCTGCAATGAGTGAATGTTTGCCTGCTCCCTTCATGTGTTGAAATGCTGTCCCCTAAATGATGGCATTGGGAGGTGGGAATTTAGGGAGGTGACTAGGTCACCAGAGGGGAGCCCTCATACTTGGTGTTACTCCCCACAAGGGACCTAGTCACCAGAGGGGAGCCCTCATACTTGGTGTTACTCCCCTTGTGGAAGAGACCCTAGGGCACTAGCTTGGCCTTTCTACCATGTGTGAGGAGGCAAAACGTCCCCCATGAACCAAAAGACAGGACTCCACTGGACACCAGATCTTCTGGTGCCTTGATTTGTAACTCTCGGGAAATAGACCTCTGAGAAATACATTTTTGCTGCTTCTAATGTATTTTTATAGTAGTATTACTGTAACAAATATCTAAATGGGGAAGTGATTTTTGGAATTGGTAAATGTGTAGAGGCTATAAGAGATGGAAGAGGTATTTTTGTTTGTTTGAGAATTTTGTTTGTTTGTTGGGTTTCTGTTTGTTTGCAGTGCTGGCACTGGGAATTGAACCCAGGGATATCACACTGGGTCAAGTCTCTAAGAGGCTGGAAGGGTTTGGAGGCACCTGCATTGCTGCAGATGGGTTAAGGGCAGTTCTGGTGATAGCTGAGAGGAAAAGCAATGAAAAAGAAAGGAAAAGAGCTAAAGAGAAAGCTTCAGTCTTACAGCATACCCTAGTAATCACAAATAGAACGCTTTCAGAAGTACAGATGGTAAAGGTCCATCTAATGAACTCTGACAGAATCAGGACTGTGTTATTGGACAGTGGAAGAAAGCCCCTCCTTTTTACAAGGTAGCAGAGGATCTGGCCAATTCCCATCCTGTTTCAATGAATTGTCCTCATGTTCTAGTGTCTTGTGGTAGAACTTAAGAGAGAATTAGATACTTGCTGAAGAAAAGTCTGGAGGGAGGGCCATCTGGTGCCTCGGTGGCCCGGTTCCTGTCCCACTGTGTGCAGAGGGCAGGGCACGGAGTCTAAGAGTATTCCTGAGGCAAACCCCTCCATGTTGGGGTTTCCACTTACTCAGGATCTATCCATCACCCCTTTCTTTCTGTTTCTCCCTTTCAGAATCCTATGCCTGTCCCACCGCATAGCTTGTTTGACTTCATAGTTCACACCTGGAGGAGAATTCGCCTCAGGACGACTCATGCTTCGGTCACCCTCACATCTGATTTAGCTGGTAGTTAGCTGAGACTCTGGACTTTAGACTTGAGTTGATTCTTGAGTTCAGACTTGAATTAAGACTTTTGGGGTTAATGAGATGGAATAGACTGACCATATCTTGCATGTGAGAAGGATGTGCATTTCGGGAGGTCAAGGGCAGATTGCTGTGGTCTGCATGTTTGTGTGCCCCTTCAATTCAGAAGCTGAGATCCTAACTCTGGGCTGATCACAGTAGGAGACAGAGGTTCCAGAGGACATAAAGGCAGAGCTCTCAGAACTGAGATTAGTTCCTTTCAAAAAGAGGCCCTAGCCCTGGAGAGTTGGCTTGTTCCTCCCATCGTGCCAGAGGAGAGTGAGAAGGTGCCCACTGTGACCCAGATCATGGATTCTCATCAGGAGCTAAGCCTGTGACGTCTCAGTCTTGGAATCTGCAGCCTTAAGGACTGCTAGAGATGTATATTGTGTATCAGTCACGCACTTTATGGTATTTTGCTGGAGCAGCCTGAGCAGGCTAAGACAACCAGCAACTAGAACCAGTGCCTCAGGCAGTGACTGAACCTCAGTGTCTTCATCCTCGGTACCTCCTTTATGGAGCTACTGTTAGGAAAAAATGAAGGTAGGCAGGCTCCACAGTAAGGGTAGGTTTTATTGGGGTTATAATCTGAGAGGGACCATTTGGCACTAGACCAGACCAGTACTGTCTCTTAGGCTAAAGGGGTTTTATAGCAGCTATCTGAGTTGGGTTTCACTGTAACCTTTGAATACCAGCCTGTGTGTGTTTACCTGCTGAGGCTCATCCTCTTAACAAGGGCCTGTAAAGCCTGATCACCTGGTGGGGGTGGCAGTTCCCCGCCCCCCTCATTCTTGACTTTTAACAAGGGCCCATAAATCTTGAGGGCTGAACTCATGGTGACCTGATTAGCATGGTAGTGGTGTCATTCCTGCAGCTGCTGTCAAGAATAAAAGGACAGGAAGCGCTCTGTGAATTTTTACAAATCACACAAAAATGTTCTTGGCCACATATGAAAAAAGAAGCGTGATGTGACTAAAACAGAATTAGCTGAATTTATAATTTATCTAACAGCTTCCCCACACTTCTGTCCAATGAAATATAAACTTAACTCACCAAATCAGCAAATATCTGCATCCTTATCAAGTTTGAACTATAGTGGGCACTGTAGTTGAAAAAATTAACATTACACCATCTTAAATTATTTTTTATTGGGAGGTAATGTTTTTAAGAACATGAATGTCACTTCAAAGCACAATGTAGTACAATAGTTTATGATTGTGTAGTGATTTTGTAGACATTAAGATATTTAATTCTGGAGAGAGTTATCAATTGGGATACAGCCTCATACAACATGATCTGTTTGTCACAGTTTCTGGAAGACTTGAAGTACTTTATGCAACAGAGAAATCTATCTGTATATTTATTTAGAAGCTCTAGACAAGACTATGTTAAAATACTTGTTGCAATTATTGTCTACCTGATAGATCTACTTATAAGACATGGGAAAATATGTGGTTATATAGATGGATATTTATTAGCAGTATTCAGATTATCTTGGTTCCTCTGCAGTGCTCTGTGACTTGTGGCTCTGGCGTCCAGCAAAGAGATGTGTACTGCCGGCTGAGGGGCACCGGTCGGGTGGCTGAAGAGATGTGTGATCCATCCACAAAGCCTTACTTTCAGAGGCAATGTTTGGGTCAGGACTGTGTGAAGTACCAGTGGATGGCGGGAGAGTGGCCGGATGTAAGTACCAACAAGTGAACTTTCAAAGACGCCGCATAGAAGGACGTGCCGCTCATCTTGTCATTGCTTTCCTAGTGTCCAACATCATGTAAGAAGAGAGAGACCCGTCGGATAGTGAAGTGCACTGATGCGCACAACACACAAGTGAATGAGAGTTTCTGTGATCCTGCAACCAGGCCTCGCTCCGTGAAAAAGTGCGGAAACCTGCCCTGCACGTATGTGGTGGTCACAGGCGACTCGGCACAGGTAAGGCCACACGAGGGGAGTGGAAAAATCTTGTTGGGGCCTAAAACCTGAGCCGTTTGAAACTGGGCCTCATACTTGAAAGTGGAAGCGGATAAAGGGCGTACACACCAAGCTAAGGAATGAGATCACTGGCAGTCAGGCGGCGCAAATAGAGTGCAGCACTCATATGACAAGCTGTTGAACTCCACCGGGAGCCGGGTGTCTCCATCCTTACCAGCTGAGAACCCAGCCACAACAACAGTCTCGCCGACTGGCTCTAATAGTCACTCTGTTTTGGAAAACAGGCTTTTTTGAGGCATAATAGATATGCAATCAATTGCACATACTTAACATGTATGGTTTAAGTTCTGACATATGTATACCTTATTTAAATCCAGTACTGTGTTCACAATACAGCACCTTCCATCACCCCAAAAAATTTCCTTGTGCTAATTCATAATCCCTCTGGCCTCCCCTTCTCCCCACAAATAACTCAACTGTCTTACTAGCTTGCATTTTTTAGGGTTTTATAAATGTGAAATCACATAATATGTGCAATTCTTTTCTTATGTAATGAAAGTTCTTCAGGATTAAATGAGGTTTTAGTACATGTCACTGGATTATTCTTTTCTACTGTTGTTTAATATTCCACTGGATGGATGTCTTCAAGTTGACTAATATTTTCTTCTTTGTGTCTGATCTATTTTAAATCCAAACCCAGTCTATTTTTCACCTCTGATGGTATAATCTTTATCTTTAAGCGTTTGATTCCAGCTTCCATTATATCTTCCACGTCTCTACATTATTTTTTAAAATTATGAAATAGTTATTAAAACATTTTCTAAAAGATTTTAAATATCTTTCTATGATGTTTGTAACATTTCTCTATGTGTTTATGTATTTACAATTTAGGGGATTTTCGTATATGTTTATGCAGCCATCACCGTGATCTAATTTCAGGACATTTTTATCACACCCATAAGAAAGTTCATACCCATTAATAGTCATATCTCACTCACTTTCCCCTGGCTCCAAATAACCCTAGCTCTTTCTGTCTGTGTGGATTTTCCTGTTCTGAATAGTTGTATAATATATGTAGCTAGCTTCTTTCATGTATTATATTTTTAAGGTTTATCCATAGTGTAACATGCATGAGTGCCTCATCCTTGTGAGCCTGAACAGTCTTTCATTTTAAGGGTGGGTGATATTTTGTTCATTCTGTAGTGAGCTGATGGACCTTTGCAGATGACTATTACAAGTTCTGAGTTTCTGGTTGAAAATGAATTGAGAAAGATATATTGAATTATTTCTGCATGTACACTTCTGTTCGCTTAATGTGTGTGTCTCTCATTATGGCATCATAGTATAATCTTAGTTGCTGTACTTTCAGAGTAAGTTTTGGAATCAGGACGTATATGTGAATCCACTGTGTTCTTTCTTTCAAGATCGTTGGGCGATTCGGAGTCCCCTACATTTCTGTGTGACTTTTAAAACCACTTTGTCAAATTCTGTGGAAGAACCAGCTGGACTTTTGTTAGAGATTACAGTGAATCTTGGTCAATTTTGAGAACATTGCTATTTTAACAATACAGTCTTCCAATCCATGAACATGGGCTGTCTTTTCTTTCATTTAGGTCTTATTTAATTTCCTTCCAGAATGTTTTATAGTTTCCAATGTACAAGTCTTGCACTTGTTAACTTTATTCTGAAGTATTATACTTTATTATGTTTTTTTCTTGTTTAAATGGAATTGTTCTCTTAATTTCATTTTCTGGTTATCCATTGGTAATACATAGAAATAGAATTGATATTTATGTATAAAACATGCTTATTGGATCTAAATTTGTGTGTGTAATATTTGTAGTTTTCTACAAACAATATTATATCACTTAATAATAGATATGCAGAAATTTCTCAGTTCATGACTGCTAGTATTTGCAAAAGGTTTGGTTCACAAACAGAAGTGTTTGGCAGAATTTTGCTTCTGTTAGCAAACTCCATATAGGGAGACAAAGGCAAATCATGGCCCTCTTCCATGCACAAATATGAATGCAGCTTCCGCAGGATCCTGGAATGAATTAAGTTCATGAACTTCAGTACCACTGTCATTTTACTTCTTCTCTAAATCTGGATAGCTATTACTTCTTTTTCTTGGCTAATTTCCTTAACTAGAGACTCCAGAATAGCATCAAACAGAAGTAGATGAAAACAGATCTCCTAGGCATATCCCTACTCTTCATAAAAAAGGCCTTCTGATTTCACAATTAAATTTGTTAACTATAGATTTTTTTTGTATATTCACTTTACCAGATTGAGGAAATATCTTTCAGTTCTAGTTTGCTGAGTGTTTTAATCATGAAAATGTATTGACTTTTGTGAAATTTTTTTCTGCATCTACTGTGATGGCCATGCAATTATGTCCATTGCTGTATTAGTGTAACATTGATTGCTCTCCATGTGTTGAAACAACTTTGTATTCTTGGGATAAATCTACTTGAGCATGATGCATAATTCTTTTTTACGTGTGGCTGAAATTTTGTTAGTGTTTTATTGAGGATTTTTGTGTGTACATGGTAAGTGATATTAGTCTGTAGTTTTCCTGTGATATCTTGTCAGATTTTGGGAAATATCAGCTTGATAGGATGAATTTGGAAGTGTTCCTTTTCTTCTGTCTTTTGTGGGAATTTTGGGGGATTGGTGCTAATTCTTTAAATACACCAGACCCTTATTTGTCTGAAGTCTTTTAAATCACAAATTCAGCTGCTCTACTTGTGACAAGTCTGCTCAGATTGTCCCTCCTTCACAAAATTGTTGGTGTCCCCATTTTTTGTGGTTTGTTTAGTGTTTTTTTTTGAGCTGAAGTTTATGTTTTCTGTGATATGTAGTCACTAACATTTCTGCTAATCTAATTTAGTTGTCAGATCATTAGACAGTGATTTCCTTAAATACCAGAGTTACTAATAATCTAAGGCTAATAAATGTGCTTTACATCATATATGTATAAAATCTTCAACACAGCCAGGCAGTTGACAACTCTTTCTTAACTTAAAGTCCCTGCTGTTGAGATCCTACAAGTCAGTTTAAGATGAAGGAACAGGTCCTCCTCAGGTATTTCCTAGGCAAGTGGACAATGTTGAACATGTGTGTAACTCTATGTATATCTATGGGTTTTGGCATTCCCATTGATATATTGGAGATTTTCAAAGTTCCTTTAGATATCTAATTCACTGCTTTTCTTTTTAAGCTTTTTGGGCAGTCTGTTTTTGTCCCATTAGCCACCACATCTGAAAATCACAAAGTTAAACAATAGCTTCAATTATGTTGAAGGAACATCTTCAAAGCTTTTAGCACTGAGAAAACCAAGTCAAATAAACACAACCTTGCAAGCATTGCCTTCCATACAACTCCTGAACAGTAGTGACAGTTCTTTGGGAGTGGCTTTGAAGGAAGTCCAAGCCTGACCTTCCCAGGTCAGTGGATGTCACACTGCTGGTTTTCACTCTTGACTGCAGGACTATGAATTGTTAAGGCTTTTAAAGAGCTGTCCAGGAGATATTGAAAATATAGCAATTTAAAATACACAGGGCTCATCCTTCTTACCGCAATTCAGTTGTGTTTTTTGAATAAATGCCTTCTGGTACTCAAAATCTTTGACTAACTTCCAGAATTCTTAAAAGTTGATATGATAAATTCTGCCAGTTTCCTCATTGCTGTATGGAGAAGAAAGTACTTAGATATCCTGACTCTGCTTGGTGCCATCTCTCCAGCATGTTTTGATTCATGAGTTTTTCTCTTTGTTATGGGTCTGATTTTTCTGTTTTGTTGCATACAACTTAAGTTTTTTATTTTATGTCTAACATTATAAATTTTCCCTTATTGATTACTGGATATACTTTATTCCTATGCATATATTTGAGCTTTATTATGGGATGCAGTTGTTTGCCTGGAAGCCGTTGGATACTCTTTTACTTTGCTCATAAGATTTGTTAGGCTAGCGCAGTGTGTTGGTTAATCTAGGGTTGATTATCCCCCTCTACTGTGGTGAGGCCTTTTTAAGCACTCTCTCTATTTCCCCCTATGATAATGTTTCAGTTTGGTTGGGGGGTGCGGGCACTACACTTGGCCCTGTGTGACTGCCAGGTAGAACACAGTAGCTTCTGAGCCTTGTGTTTGGTTGATTCTCTGGCTTTGGTGGATGTTCTAACACGTATGTGTGCTCTGGTCATAGCTCTGCTGTCTCCTTTCTTTGAACCACGACCTTCAAAGCAATAGGCTGGAACAATTATTGGGTCACCTTTTTGGTTCCCATCTCCCAGGCACCTCTATACTTCATTATTGCATGTTGACTCCCTTAAAAGTCATTGTTTAATATGCTTTACCCAGGTGTTTGCTTGCTGCAGGTTAGAAGGTAAATCTGTTCCTTTGCACTTTATTTTTTGCCAGAAGTACAAGTTTATTTGCCTATTTTCAGCCTGGGACTTTCGTCCTATATCTACTTATGTATTTAAGCAAATGGCATTAGACTATACTCCATATATTAAGAGATATGATAACTTATACATAGTTACTAATAAGCTAAGGCTAATAAATGTGCTTTATATCAGGTAAGAACCCCCAATAAGCTTCATTTCTCCAAAACTATGCTTACTGGGAAATCGTTTCTTTGATTAAGATATTTTTAGTGATGTGATGGTCAAAAAGATGAAAGCAGAAAACAAAACAAAATGAAAAAACCACAGACTCCACAGATGGAAGACCTCACCTAAATCTGGGTCCTTCTATTTATTGGTACAAGGCTGGGGAAGTTGCCTAATGTCATCTAACTATTGTTTACTCATTTCCAAATGAGATTAATTAAATAAGTTTACTGTGGAGATGGCACAGCAATATGTACATTAAACAGTTGACCAAAAATAGACCTTGTTAAGTTTCTGGCCCTTTTCTTATCTCATTGTACTTATGTATGTTTCAGTGTGCAGGTAATTGTGGATTTAGTTATAGACAAAGGGTTACATACTGCATTGGGATCTGGTCTACTAAGAAGCATAAGCTTCATCGACTTCAGCCTGTAGTCTATCAAGAATGCCCTGTGCTACCTCCCTTCCAGGCTTACAAATGCAATATTAAAAGCTGTTTGCATGTGGCCACCTGGAGAGTTAGCAAATGGAGCAAGGTCAGTATATAATTATGAATTTAAAACCTTGTGAATAAGACTTGCCAGGAGGGAAGTGATTGGTAATCTGCGTGTCTAGCTGGATCCTAGGGGTTGTTTCACATCGTATCTAAAAACTAACTTATCAGCTACTTGAATACATACTTCATCTCCCTTCTATGCTTGTTATAGCTTCCTTATATGCTTAGGACTTAGCTCTGCTCCTTACAAAGCCATGAATAGTGGCTTGTACTTTATAGGTACTTAAAAATTGGTTAAATGAAGAAGTAAATAAATCTCAAGCATAGGAGTGATGAATGTTTTTCTGAACTATATTCTCCTCTGATTTTAATTGCTGAAAGAATAAGTATCACTTTGCAAACTTAGCATATCTAAAAAGAGAAAAACCATTAGTAGTCTTAATAACCATCATTAATTAATGCTTATTAAGTATTTACAATGTATTATTGATATGACTACAAAAATACATGAAGAGAAGCTAGTAACTAAGACAGAATAGAATTAAGCTTGTGCCTAAGTGATGTTTTCCTTCTGTCCAGTCTCCTGTGTATGTTTGCATCTTGAGCCATTCTAGTCATGACTGATCCTCAGTTTTGACCCTGAAAGAGGCTAGATTGAGACGAGAAAGTGTGAATTTGCCAGACTTATTACCTGTTAAACGTTTTGACTGCAAATTTTGCTCTGTTCACAGTGCTCAGTGACTTGCGGAGCTGGGACAACAGAGAGGAGAGTAGAATGCCTGGAGGACAACGGTTGGCCCAGTGACTTGTGTCTAAAGCATTTAAAACCTGATGCTCAAAAAAAATGTTATGTCAGTGATTGTAAGTAAAAGAATTCAGAGTCTCTCTAGTCTCTCAGCGTTCCAGTGAAGTTTCAGTTAAAATATGAAAAAATATGCACAGCAGTCAACTACTGTGCAATGTGAAACATTAGATCTGCAGAGTATATGTCTTGGTTTTTTTTGTTGTTGTTGAGACAAAATATTTGACAATCAAAATTAAGGAAGGAAAGGTTTACTTAGCTCACAGTCTGTGGAGGTTTTAATGTATATTTGGCTGGCTCTAAGGCAGGGTGGCACATGGCAGAGGGCAACCATTTACGGCAGTGGAAGACAGCAAATCAACAAAAGCAAAAGGGAGGAGTCACAGAGTAAGTCTCTTTCCCTCCCTTGTATTGTAAGTAGACTACCTCCACTCAGGTGGTGTGTAGCACTCACATTATCTCCGTGCCCTCCTCTTGCCCAGGCTCAGGATGAATATAAAGTAAGCACCCTGGCTCTCTATTGACTCACATAGTTAACCTTTTAAACTTTTAAAATTGACACAATGAACAACATCTCAGAAGGGTAAGGGCAAGTCTTTTTTATCCCAAGATGTAGAACTACTGAGTCATTTAGCCAAACCTCTAGACTCCCCAAGTTGACACAGTGTACCAACCATAACATTATAGCAATGTTTATGAGTAAGTTCATGCTGTGTTTGTGATTTCCTCAGCACTAATAAAGAGTGTTAACTTGTCTTTGAAGGTAAATCCTTTACCACCTGCAAAGATATCCAAGTTAAAAACAATATTACCAAGGATGGTGATTATTACCTTAACATCAAGGGGAGAATAATAAAGGTATTATGAAAACAGTTCCTAGTTGCGTTTAACATTGGCAGTTGTCTTTGGTAAAAATTTTCCTGATGTTTGCACTTTTTGTTTAGATCCACTGTGTGGGCATGCACTCGGAGAACCCCAAGGAATACTTATCACTGGCCAAAGGTGAAGAAGACAACTTTTCTGAAGTATATGGATTTAGGTATTAGCTGTGTTTTGTCCTGTGTATTTTTAGAACTCTTCAAATTAAGTAGCTTAGATGCCTGTCAACAGGTACATGGATAAAGACAATGTGGTACATGTAGAAGTGGAGTATTATTCAGCCATATGGGATTAAATCTTGTCATTTACAGGAAAATGTATGGAACTAGAATCCATTATGTTAAGTGAAGTGACCCAGATTCAGAAAGTTAAATTCCACATATCTTCTCTTATATGAGAAACCTAATGAAATCATGAGTTAAAGGAGAAGTGACAGGAAACGAGGTGACTTTTAGAGATGGAGAAGGGGCTCAAATGGAGGGGAAAGAAAGGGACAGGAGGGTCGTGGGGTAGAAAAAGAAAAATTGCTTTAGTGAGTAACTGAGTTGGGCTTGAACTTGCAGTCCTCCTGCTTCAGCCTCCCAGAGTGCTGGGGTTACCAGCATGCACCACCATGCCCAGCTTGCTACTTTTTTACTTGCCTGGTTGACACTATGATATGGAAGAGTAAGAGTGATCCTTTACTTTCTCACTTCTGAAGTTTACCATTCATGCACATTAAAGCCTAATGGCTATAGCTAATACTAAAAATATTCCAATGTTGTTACAGACTACAAAATCCATATGAATGTCCTTTTAATGGAAGTAGGAGGAAAGACTGCAAATGTAAAAATGACTACGGGGCAGCTGGCTACACTGTTTTCAGCAAAATAAGAATTGATCTCACTTCCATGCAAGTTAGAAGTAAGTGTGAAATCTCTATTTTTAAAACAAAAAAACCCCTGCACTTTCTATTGAAAATCTAGCAATATAGTGGTATATACATTGCCAGGGTTATTATTTTATTATTATATAATCCACATTCAGTAGCTCATTTATAGTTAATTCAGCTGCCATTCATTTTATCAAATAAAGCTTCCCTACTACCAGTCATTGGGTTGGGCCTGAATATACAACATCAAATACACATATGTTTAACTCCTTTCTCTTTCCTTCTTCAAACTTATATGGTAAAGAAACAAGTCTTGATGAAATTAAACTTTTCACCAGTTACACACCTATGCTATGAAACTGAGTGTGGCAAGCCATGCACAGACCATCTGAGCAGTCTCATTTTCTTTTTATTTATTATCTTTTGTGAGATGGGGTCTTACTATATTGCCCAGGCTGGTGTTGAAATCTTGGGCTCCAGTGGTCCTCCTGCCTTGGATTATAGCACTACAGGTGAACATCACTATGGGTAACTCTGATTGGTATCATACTAAAGGCACAATTACAAGTGCTACGAGGACCCTTGTTGCTACCAAGAAGCAATCCTGTTGCATTTCTCCAGTGCAGTCCCACTTCCACTTCCCTGCATGCCAATCAACTTCTCTACTTTTCATTTTCTGAAATCTTAACATCTCCACTCCTTTCACTGCTGATGATCTTATTCCCATGTCACTGAGAAAATAAGAACAATTGGAAGAGAATTTGCACAAGTTCCAACCACCACATCTGCCCACCCACTGGACTTTTTACCTATGTGCCTTGGCACCTCTTTTATTTGCTGTAGTTGAGTTATTCATATTCTCATCTAAAGCAAACTCCCCTGCTTGTACCTTTGGTTCATTCCTTGTATCTACTCAAGAACACTATTTCAACAAATTTTGATCTCTCCTGCATCATTAATTCTTCTTTGCTAAGTCATGTATATGCTGCACAGAAAAATCTGCTCTTACCTCTTCTATTATAACTATGAACAAAGTTTTTCAACTCTCTTCCCTTCCAGCAACTGTCTAATTTCTCTGTGTTTCTTCATAGCAGAATTCCTTAAAGGAGTTATTATTTCCACTCTCCAATTTCTCTTCCCCCACCCTGTACTGAAATCACTCAAGTTGGTTTCTTCATATTACTCCCAGGAAACAGACTTTATCAAAGTTGTAAGTGACCTCCACATCTCAAAATCCAATAATAAACGCTTGTCTTTCATCTTACATGATAAAGTAGCAATAGCTGACTTCCTGGTCACCACATCGCCAAGGTTGTGTGCCTTTCTTGGCTACTCTTTCTCTTCTCCTTCTTACTTTTTCTCAATTTGGGTAACTATTCTTTATCTTCCCTAGCATTGAATGTTCGGTGCAGGATGTGGTGGTGCATTCCTGTAGGCATACCTATAGCAATATCTTTCATTTCTCCCTTTCTTCTACAAACATATAAAGTCCATCACCAAATTATGAGATGAATTTTTATCATGCATACTACAATGGGCTGAATTGTGCTTCCCCAAAAGTTATATATTGAATCCTTAACATCTAATATGATGGTATTTGGAGAAGGGAATTTGGGATATATTTAGATTTAAATGAAATCATGAAGATGGAACGTGAAAAGGGGGTGAGTGCCCTTTAGAAAGAGGAAGAGATACCAGAGCTTCCTCTCTGTCATGTAAATATAAGCAGTATGGCGGCCATTTGGAAGTCAGTCAGTAAAACAACCCTCACCAGAACCTAACCATGCTGCCTCTTTGATCTCAGACTTCCAGCCTTCAAGACTGTGAGAAATAGATGTCTGGGGGTTAAGCTGCCCAGTCTGTGGAATTTTGTTATGACATCCTGAAGTGTTTAAAATATATGGCAAATCTCATACTAGCTCACTGACTAACACTTGGTCCAAGTCCACCTCACAGCTGTGATTCTGGCAGAGTACCACTCCACCCGCCCTGCTTCTGACCCCACATCTCTTCTCAACAGATAAGCCAGAGTGACCTCATCAGTTATATGGTGTGCCGTGTCTTGTACATTATTCCATTTAATCTTTTAATTCTGAACTCTGTTCAAAACTTTATGGACATTTCTCATCTAACTCAATGAAATCAAGAATTATTTCATTGATCAACAAAATTCCACAAGATCTCCCCAGTGCCTTCTTCCCACTCTCCTTGCATACTGTGCTCCACACACACTCGGTCTTTGCTGTTCCTTAAACAGCAGGCCTTTGCCCTTACTATTCCACCATCCTGCAACACTCACCCAAATTTCTCCATGTGGTTTACTCATTCATCTTTGAGGGCCACTGCTGAAATTTACCTTCTTAGTAAGTTCGACCCCTTTCTTCAAAATCCACTTCTCTGCTGTACTTTTTTTAATCATAGCGGCGATCACCCCTAACACACTCCAAAATCTTCTTCATTACTTCTCACTCTCTGGTAGGGTTTCGTTTCCATTCGCCTCTTTTCCATCACTGTTGTGTTCTCAATATCTAAGAATGCCCAACATAAAACAAGTGGGAAGTCACCATTTCTTGAATTAGAAGTCTTCACTTTCCTCAAGGAGCTTCTAGGGACAGCTATTCTAAATAATTTTGAAGATAAATTCAAATTAACCAAGGTGGGAAAAAGTAGTTTCAGGGAGAAGGAAAAGCATGAACAGAGTCACGGGAGGGAGAAGCATCTTTGTGATATCAGACCATAAAAGTTATCCAGTTTGTCTACCCATAATTTGAGTAGAGCCTGAGGGACAGTAGCTTATGAGAGAAGTTCCCTTGGAGCAGGCTTTGAAGAGAAATGTATACCAGCTACAGAGATCCCCATTGTGATATCTATGAAAAAAAAACATAGAAATCAAATGTAATTCAGGAATAAAGTGATGGGCTCAACACTCTCCCTGCTGTCATCAAATTATGATGGGGTAATGGGTCAACCAAGAGAGCTATTTGAAAAATATTAAAGAGGTAAGTAGAGGATTTTCTTTCAGGAGGAATGTGGGAAACAATGACATGGACTCTTTAGAAAGATTTCCAGAATAACCAAGTGGATGGTTGCATATAGTTCAATGGGACAGGAAACAAAGCAGGGGAAATAAATTTGGAGAAGCAGTTTATTCCTTTAGCTTGCATGTGTTAAGTTAGACACTGGAGGGTCATCCAACAGTGATGCCTTCCGGGAGTGTGATATTTGCACTGGAGCTCAGCAAAGTTCGGGGGGTCTTCATTATATAACTGGTTTGTGAAACTGATGCTGTTGGCCGATCATTATGCTTTTGGAGGAGGTAGATCACCCTTTGAAAGTTGTGTCCCTGCTCTGCCCTAGCCTAATATGTAAGTACAGTGCACCTGAACTGCAGTATTTGTCAATTTCTATGTCATGAATGTTGTCGCTATGGCCAATTATAAGCCACCAATGCTACTTCATCATACACGAATTTGGGAAGAGATGCACAAAATCAGCTTTCACTGCGTGGTACTCTTTTGTTCTGGCTTGTCATGGATGTCTCCTAGTTTTGCTACCTGTCCATGGAATAAGGTAGATATTTGCAGAAGTGATACCTTTGGAGATTGCCCCAGAGGACCGGGGTCATTGTGGGGAATGATGTGATCTTTCATGTTCTCAAAAAGTAAAATGATTTGAAACAACAACTCCGTGGAAAGGAGAACCGTTGTCTGGATAATTTGGTTAGGATATTATTTAAGTGGTTCAAGCATGGGTAAATGATTGGAAGAGCTAAGTTTAAGGATTCTTTCCAGCCTGTTTTTGAAACAATGATTCTAGTTTTGATAGTTTATGTAGATTCTCAACTGTTACTACCAATCAGGAAATTTTGATTTTCCAAACTTTCTCCATTTTTGGGGGGAGCAAAATCAAAAACAAGATGAAAAGAATAAAAAGGATAAATATTGTAATAACATAAGTCAAAGAAAGTAGCACATGTTTTGCTTGCTGTTTTTGGATTGTCCAGGTCAATCGTCATATATGCAACGTACAAGTACTCATATATCGCTTTGGGATAATTTATCTTACTTTTAAATCATTTTTTCTTCAGTAATTTTGCTCCCAACCCTACTTCTTTTATTTTAGGTATTTGCTATGTCATAAAGCATTTATTTAGTTTTAAGGCTTCTGTTTCAATTACAGATGCACCTATTATTTTTGAAGGCAATTTATGAGATGAACATTTTTATATTAAAGAAAATGTATTCATTGAAACACTGTTTTATCTTGTGGACTCTAATTATTAAAATTTTCTTTTCTTAAACTTTTGAACTAATTATACAAATATACTTAAGACAATAACATGAAAACTACATAGTTGATAATAATGGTTGCATTGTTGTCTCAATGCTATAAAATATTATTTTTTATTTTCCAGCTACAGATCTTCTCTTTTCCCAGACATTAGCTGGAAAAGCAATTCCATTTGCCACAGCTGGAGATTGCTATAGTGCTGCCAGATGCCCACAGGTATTTCATATTTATTTGATTATTTTTCCTTCTCCTTGAAAAAAATGGTAATATTTATCTTCATTTACTTTCTTGACCACGTTATTGCAAAAAATGTAAGAATATATGCATGTAACTTCCTAAATACATATACATATGTATCTTCCTATCTGTACTTTATTTCAGTGATTATAGATAAACAGTGGAGAACTGGGTTTATTTGAAAGATATTAACAAGAAGTTTAGAGTTTTCAGATCTTATTTCTCCTCTGTAATATATTTTTAATCTTTTCACTTAGTCAGTGGAAGTGAATGGGTGTTCACTACATGGTAAAGGAACAGATCGGGAACATGGGACTTTCTCACACTGCTACAAGCTGCAGTTACCTTGGTTGTCTGGGTCTGTGACATCCTGATGTAGTTTAGATACGTGTAACCTAAAGGTCCACGGGGAAAGGCTTTGTCCCCAGGGTGGACTACTGGAGGTGCTGCAAACCCTTAGCAGGCAGGACCAATCTAGTGAGAAGTCCTTAAGGGATGGTGGGGGGCACCCTGCAGAGGGAGTGTGGGACTCAGCTCTTGCCGCTTTCTCGCTCGTGGTTTGAGCGTTGGCCAGGACACATTTTTCCTCTATGCTGCCTACACCAGAGCCTGAACATGTGGGACTCCCTAATCTTGGACTTGAACCTCCAAAACTGTGGTCCAAGATATTCCTTTTCCCTTTAAAAATTTAATTCACTCAAATATTTCATTGTAGTAGCATGAAACTGGCTAATACACATTCCAAAAATTATATTCTAGTGTCTATGACGTGTACAGACAGTACTTTTCCATGTTTGTGTTCTTGTTTTCATTCCTTATCTCCTGAATCCCCCCTACATAACCCTGTTGTCCTCTACAGGACTCCTGAGGTAGAGTGTGGTTCTTAGGAGAAGTTTACTCTCTCACTTTTAAGGAGGTATTTTATATAGTCTACACAAACACTATGTTTAAGATAAGGTAGAGAATTGTAAGTCACGTGACTACATCTTGTTGGGCAGATTCATGGCTGACGGGATCAAATCTACTACCTGAGGTGATAATTAATATACTGATTTTATTTTGAAGAGAAATACCTGTTGGTTTACCTCGGCCCTCTCCTCTTGGAATTTCTCACTCACGGTTTTACCATATGACACAAAACTTGTATTTACGTTATGATTAGAAGACATTTTCGAGGATGGGGGTTTAGCTCAGCGGCACAGCACTTGCCTGGCATGTGCGAGGTCGTGAGTTCCATTCCCGGTACCGGAAAAAAAACGAAAAGCAAAAAAAAGGAAGACATTTTCTATATTAGAGAAAACGTGAGAGGATCAAGAGTCATTAAAACTACAGGCTGAATGAATAAGAAAGATTTAACTGGAATAAATGTGCAAATTTTAACTTAGTTTGGAAACTCTGGGAGAACCTGGCAACGTTGTGTGAAAGCCTCCCCCCTTGGGTGTTGTATTTCAACACCACAACTTCCATGGACTCTGAGGACAGAAGGATTTCTTAATGGCCAGATGAAACCATAAAGTACCAAAACACTATACAATTATTAAGCCCTGAAATTTATTTATAACTGACCCTGGAATATCATACTCACTTTTACATTTCTGCCTGTAAAACATAGATTTTAATCTAGCTAGGAGTAGGAAGAGAGCATTAAGGATTAAAAAAGGAGAATTTAAAGAAGACAAAGAAAGTATTCTAAAAAAGAATGAAAGGTTATAAATATCTTTAAATATTTAAAAAACCACCATGAAAGAAGAGTGAGGCCATGTGTGCTACTCCAGGAAAAAAACAGGGCAGAAGATCCTTGCTCAGTGTCAAGAATTATCCAGCAAAGAGAATTCCAAATCCGGAGCCCAAACAAATGATCAATTTTTGTCTATATTTTTATGGATTGATCGTGTATCCTGTGAACTTACTGAATTTAGTTCTTAGTTGTAATAGTTTTTATTAGATTCCTGGGTATTTTCTGAACGTATTAAGGATGTCATCTGGAATTAAAAATAGTTTTACTTCTTTTTTGATCTTGGTGTCTCTTCTTCCTTTGTCTTGCCTCATTGTCTCACATTTACTATGTTTGCTGGTGCAGTGTTGGATGTCCTTATGTTCTGATTTGAAATAAAAAACATTTGGTCTTCCTTATTAAGTATAGTAAGTATGGCTGTTCTGGTGATGTCCTTGAAAGTGTCCTTCTATTTCTAGTTTAAGTGTTGTTTTTAATGAAGAGGTGTTGGATTTTCCTTAGATGCTTCTTCCGTATTAGTTAAGATGTTCCTGTGGTTCTTGTCCATTATTGGATTAGGTTATAATATTTTTCCTTGATTGACTTTTGTGTGTTGAACTTTTATTTCTATTATAAACCTCACTCAATTATGGTGTGTCATTCTTACTGCATGTGCTTCTAGATTTAGTTTGCTAATTTATCGTCTATATACATAACAGGTATTGTTCTATCATTTTCTTCTATTGTGATGCCTTCTTGTATTAGGGAAATACCTCATAGAATGTGTTGGGAAGTTCTTCCTTTTCTACTTTTTAGGAAGAGTTTGTGAGGACTTTATTCTTTAAGGGTTAGTAGAATTCATGAGTAAAATCATGTGATCTTGTGGTTTTCTTTCTGAAATTTGATTTAATTACTATTTCAATTTCTATTCATTATCCAGTTCTATTCAGATTTTCTAATTCTCCCCTCTCCTCTCTCCTTCTCCCCCTAAACCTTCTCTGCCTCCCCTCAAAGTGTTACCAGGTTGGTTCTTTGAAAAAAATTGGGATCTGTTCACTTTGCTCTACTGTTTCAATTCTTTATTTCATGTATTTTCATGCTTCTCATTATCATTTCTTTCCTTCTGTTGCCGTAAGGTAATTGGCTGTTCTTTTTCAAGTACCTTAAGGTGGAAGTTAGATTTTGAATTTGAATTTTTTTCTTTTTTAATATATGCATATATAGCAATACATTTCAATTTAAGCCCTTGTTCTGCTGCATCTCAGAAGTTTTGTGTTTATTTTCATTCATGCAAAAGTATTTTTTACTGACATTTGTGATGTCTTTTTTGAATCATCTGTTACTTAAGAGTCTGGTGTTTAATTTCCAAATATTTGTGAATTTCCTAAATTTCCTTCTGTTTTCCATTTCTACTTTCATTCCATTGTAGTTGGAAAACACACTCTGTATCATTGCGGTCTTTTTAAATTTATTGAGGCTTGCTTTATGGTGTAGCATATGGTTTAGCTTCAAGAGGGTCTGTGTGTGCTTGGGAAGAATGTGTGCTCTGTCGCTGAGGGACATGTGCTTCATGTCCGGCAGGCCTTCTTGGTTGGCTATGCTCACCTCTACTCTGTCCTTGTGGACCTTCTGTTTTACTCTGTCCACTAAACCCTAACTGTTCTTGTTGAATTGTTCATTTGATCTTGTTTTGTGTACTTTGTTTTGTGTCATTGATTTTGGAGTTTTATTGTGCATGATTATTTGTTTATGATTATTATAACTTCCTAATAAATTGACCCCATTATCATTGTAAACTATGCCTCTTTGTCAATAGTAATATATATTTTTAAGTTGACTCTACCTGCTTTTGAACTCTGTCTTCTATGGTCATTCCCGCTGTCTTAGAGTTTCTGTTAACCTTCTGTATATTACCTTGTTTTTTTCAATACGAAGGACTGACTTCAGGGCCTTTGCACTGAGCTACAATCATTTTTCTTTTCTTTTCTTTCTTTTTGAGACAAGGTCCGTTTCTAGGTTGCCTGTTAGGCTTGAAATTGCCATCTTCCTACCTGGAACACCTCACTCAGCATCCTTACTTTCAGCTTATATCTCTGGGGCTTAAAAGTATCATTTATTTTGCTGGTTTTCTGCCTTTTGATTGGTTTATTTAATGTTATCGATATGTCTGGTGTTATATGCATTATTTTTGTTTTTTACAATCTCACCTGTCTTCTTCCTTCAAAGCAGTGAGGAGGAGCCATGAAATTAAATTTTCTTTGTCTTAATTTATTTCATTATTTTAAAAATTGCTTTCTTTATTATTGTAAGGCTTATAGTATTTCTCTTTTGAGAATCTATTTCAGGCTTATGCTAGTGAATGCTTCTATATTTGAAGTGACACACAGAAACAGTACTTGCGTATATAAGTACCCTCAATATCAGTGGGAGATTGGTTCCAGGACTCTTCGTGGAAATCAGAATTTGTGGGTGCTCAACACCTTTATATAAAATGATGTGGTATTTGCTCATAACTTGTGCATTTCACATCATACACTTTAAATAACCTCTAGATTGCTTATAATACTTAACACAATGTAAATACTGTGTAAGTAGTTGTTTTACTATATTGTTTAGAAATAATAACAAGGAAAAAGTCTGTACATTTTCTATATAAGCAGTGTTTTTTCAAATATTTTTGATCCATGGTTGGTTGAACCCATGAATGCGTAATCCATGGATACAAGAACCAACAACATGGCCTGTTTCCTCTTCCTTTTACTGTATTGTATTTGTCATATATTTATAAGTACAGTAGACTATATATTGTTATATCATATATTACAATATATTTTATGTTATATTGGTGTATGGATATTATATTACCTTACATAATTTTGTCTTTTAGGGAATATGCATGAAAAGGGACCTAGTACATTTTCAAAGAGTTTGTTACATGAACCTTCTTTTGTAGTATTTCTGGCCTCTTTATTTCTTCCTAGAGATGTATCATCTGGTGTCATTTCCTTACTCCAATACAGCTTTGCTTTCACCCACCTCATTTGTGCCGCTGTTTTCAAATATATTACATTTCTACATATTTCAGGTCAGTAGCACACACATATTGGTTTCTGTAATTGATTTTAAATCAGTTAAGAGGGGAAAGGTGAAGGAATGCAATTATGGTATAATTTATAATTACCTATAACTATCATTGCTCTTACCAGCTTTATGTGGTTGTTTCATGCTGATTTGTATTAATGTTTGGTATCATTTGGTCTCAGGC